ACAGCAAAATGCACGTCTTGTCGAATCCAAATGAAATCCAAGGTCAGATCGCAGAAATGATGGAAGAAGCATATTTTTGCGAGAACTGACAGAACAAAATGTACGTGAAAATACATGTTCAGACAAATCGTCCAATCTTGACACAATTGAGGACAAGCTTCATTGCAGTTGGTATGTAAGTATTATGGTTAAGTAGGGCACGCTTCTACTTTTCGTTAAAAGTAGATTCCAGAATCTCGAATAAATCACAAATTAAAGCAAGTAAAAGAGATATTCAAAGTATCAAAAGTATCAAAGATATTCAATAGAAAGTATCAAAGATATTCAATTCCTTATAGATCGAGTCACTAGAGAATACTCTAATAACGGACTAATAACGGACTAAGCATAAATATAACAAAGACAGAGTTACTTGTGGTTAGTAAACAAGACCTCGGCGCTATACAACTAATTCTTCGGCTTAGTGACACAAAAATGTATCTCAAAAATGACTACTTTTCAGGAGAGCATATTTAAGGTTTTTAAAAAGATGATTTGCATTTTGTAATGACCTGTAGTTTATTCTCAACTTTTTTGTTCCGAATTATTAATCTTAGGAATGTTTTCATTGCCGTAATACAATCATACGCAACAATGAATAAATTGTGTTCTCAAAATATCAACAAGTAGATAAAGTAGCGGAGATACATTTTTGTGTCCCTACCTGAAAAGTCTATTGAGACTTACATGGGTACCATTTAATTTTAGGAAAGCTTAATCTTAATCCTATTAGTCATTTGTATTGGAGTGTTATCGATAAATTTCGAGAGATAAACAAACTGAGTGGCAGGTATAATAAATAAAAGTACAATAGATTAAAATTTATTAATCTCTACCTGGTCCGAAAAACTTAACCACGCCATTTAAATACAAATGATTTTTAATAGGATTCAGACTAAGCTTTTCTAAAATGAAATGGTACCTACTTGTAATTTGTTGCTATAGCATTATAACCAATATTATGATATATAACAATTTACTAATAATAAAATAAAACTAATAATCGTAATTCATTTTATAACTTTTTATTGTTCTGACGATATTTTCTTGTGGCATTAAATACTATTTAAAAGTCTCGATGGAAATAACCACAATATTATTTATTAAAAAAAGAAACTTTATAAAATGTTTAGATAACGATTTCTGAATTAGATGGAGAAACGTCAATAAAGTTTTTTTTTTATAAATAGATTGTGGTTATTTCCATTGAGACGTTTATACCATTATTTAAATCATAAAATATTTTTTTTAATTAAACATAAATTTTAAAAACATTTTCAAACAATAATTTTAATTATGTTAATCACTTTGCACATCTGATTGATTGTCCATATTGTTGGTGACCAACGACTTAAAGAAGAGATGATACTGGGAAGGAATAATGCCTTTATTACACAACTCTTGTTCATATCCTGATCCATTAGGTTCACTGGTAGAATATGCGAGGCACTATTTGAATGTATCACTTATGATAAGAACGGTAAATTATGAATGTGTTTAATCAGAATCGACATCAAAAAATATATTCTCACTTTGTTCATACCCTGATAAATTAGGTTCACTGGTAGAAACATGAGAGGCACTATCTAAATATGTCACTTGTTGTGATGAAAGCGCTAAATTATGACTATGCGTTTCATCATCTCGTACCGATTTGTTAAGAGCTAACAAAACTAACTTCTTCCCTCTTGAATCCATTATTGTGTAATAATAAAATTATAAAACAGTATTATAACGATAATTATAACAATCTCTACCACCCTGATAAATATAATATGTTTAATATGTATATTAATGATAAATATAATAAACAAATTATAAACTGATTCACGTGTTTCACAGCTATAACAAAACTACAAATACAACAGGCCCCCCTGCTAAACATAATAAACAAATTATCAAATCCACAGTTACTACCTGCAATCACCATTCAGTGCAATAAAATTTATGCCACAAAAAGGTAACTCAATATCAGCTTATTTATAGTACGAAAACTTACGAAAACGAAAACAGAAATGTAACAGCACTTAGATTTCTGTGACACTAAAAGATTACTAAAAAATGTAGTTACGAAAACTCCTAATTGGGGTTTTAAGTGCCTGGAGAGATATAATTTTGTGTCACTCAATAGAACTCACTAAGGTAAGTTCAGTGGTGTAGATATCTCAAAACGGAAAAAAATGTAGTTACATTTTTGTGTCACTAAGGCGACGAATTGTCAATAAAGAACCGATAAAAAGAGTTATCCACTTTAAATATCTAGGATGTTAAATAAGGGAGACACTAAATTCGGATGAAGAAATTAAAACTCGTACAGAAATTGCAAGTACGTTTATGAAACTTAGATATATCCTGAACAATTCTCAGCTGAACTTACAGCTGAGAATTAAGTTCCTAAAATGTTATGTGTATCCTGTATTAGATACTGTATGGATGTGAAACCTGGATTATGAAGGTTAACATGATAAACAAATTAGAAGCCTTCGAGATGTGGTTATATCGTAAAATGCTCAGAATATCATAGGTTCAATACATTTTACACAGAGAAGTCTTGAGCAGAGTAGGTCCAGGTGAAGGTGACTTAATAAAGACGATAAAGAAGAGAAAACTCTAATATCTGGGACATATAATGGGAGAAAGCAGATACAGGATAATGCAGTTGATACTCAACGGAAAGATCAGTGGAAGAAGAGGAATTGGTAGAAAGAAATACTCATTGCTTCGAAACCTTCATTAATGGACTGGCTTATCAGCAGATGAATTATTACATGCCGCGCAATATCGAGAACGATATCGGCAAATCGTCATGGAAGCTACCCACACCTAAAACTTGGGCACGGTACTCAAAGAAGAAGAAGATAACTGGAGCAAATCTGTATGTAAACCAAATGAGAATTAAACGTATCTCACAATACAACTACTTGGGAACTAGATTCAATGAGTCATTGGATAATACCCAAGATGTTAAATGTCGCATAGGAAAGGCAAAAGTGCATTATTAACTATAAGTTCTGTGTTAAAGAGTCATGACCTCACCCTAAAAACAAAAATAAGGCTCCTTAAATGTTATGTGTACTCATTGCTTTATATGGAGTAGAAACGTGGACATACAGAAGGATCCTGAAGATATCATGGACAGACAAAGTCACCAATGAAGAAGTAATACGAAAGATGAACACAACTGCGGATTTGGTCAATATCGTGAAGGGCCGTAAGGTGCAGTGCAGTACTTGCGAAATATAATGAGAAATCAAGGCAGATACGAGCTACTTCAATGCATTTTGCAAAGTAATAAAAAAAAGGGCTCCAGGACAAAGAAGAATATCCTGGCTAATCTAAGAGTAAATTATTAATTTAAATCTCTTTATAGAAAGACCTCAACACAGCTATTTCGTATAGCAACCAACAAAGTCATCATATACAGAATAATCACCAACGTTCGAAATGGACAGGCACCCTAAGAAGAAGATAACTAGAAAACTTCTAGTTATCTTTGTTGAAACTAGTTTAAAAAAAAATGTAATAAAAATGTCCGGTACAAAAAAAAATATTGTTACAATTTGTTTAAAAAAGGTCTAGCTGACTTCTTGAAACGTATTTTGGAGTATCTCATAAGAGTGATTATGGAAAAAAAATGGGAATATTTTTCCGGAAGAACCCAAACTTATCGCCCGACTACAAGATTTTCTAGATGTTTCTCTAACAACTAGGTCTTCCAACCTTTTTTTAGGCTTTTCCTTTAGTTACTTTGTTTTTTATTTTAAAGGCATTTTTTGCTATTTCAAATAGTAGCTTACAGTAAAATATTATTATTAGTTTTACTTTTTCTGCAAAATTATTTAGAAACATATTTATAACTTTCAATATATTTTACCGTTTTTAAATAAAAAGAGCGTTCGAATTTTTATAAATATATTTATTTATAAGTTTACAGTTCGGTAATACCTTATCAACTAAACTTAACTTATAGAAGGTCTACTTATATATAAAAGTTTTGGATGTACTAGATTATTCGGGAGTTGCCCACCTCTAATTCGTTCGAAGCGTCTCGAAGGCAGGCGCTATTAAAAATGCCATCGATTGTGTATTCAAGAATCATTCTTCCAAAACTTGTGATGCATACCACGCATCGGTGATGGGCTATTTCATTACACCGTTTCCCTCTTAGATCTGAGCGTTCCGATCAGCAACTCCAGATGTAGGCCCAGGATGGCGAAATCTACAGAACTGTCCGGCTCTGCATAAACCCCTCAAGAAAAAAACAACAGTCTACAGACTTTGAAGGACATGATCTCTTCGAGATAATACAACACACAGTAATTCGTACGCCGGTTTCTCGGAAGATCACTTCAAGTATGCCTCTGAGAATTTTCCAATTCAGATTTTCTAGTGCCTGCCTACCTTGGGTAAGGCCAAATTCTTGATGTCATAATTGCACACGATTTTCTTCAAATTTAATAAAGCACCCCATATATCCTCGTAGCTTCCCCTGTCTGTATACGACTTCCTGGTCACTATATACGGCAAATATCGAGGACCATCTTCTAATCTCAGTACTCTTCCAACTTTAGGCTGCTGATTTTTTAATTCGTCCAAACGACCTAACTTCTTATAAAATACGGATGAGATTCCTTTAGTCATATCAAGATCTTGGGCGACACAGTGGGCTAGAGAGTCGTTATGCGGAACACTAAAAAGATCCTGCTGAACTTCTGTGCTGACTCCGAATCAAGCGTGAATTTATTAGATTTGCTCATTAGTTATGAATATTTTAATAGAAAATAACAATAATTTGCAAAATAAAGATACTGTAAAATTTTGTTAAAGTAGAATGACTTAACTCCTTAGGCCATTAACTACATTTGTGCATTGAGTTCAAAATCAATGCAGATGTCAAAAAATATACCTGTCAGAAATCTATTTTAAGCATTACCAGAAAATACGAAAAGCTTTGTGTTAGATTACTCTACTGAATGTCTAAAATAATATGAAAGGTTATAAATCGTGAAAATTTTTTAACAAATCTTTTTATTTTTTAGATACTTTCCAATTTCATGTGCATTTATCCCCCAAATGAACTTGTACTACTGGTTGGACCTCGCAGCTCAATAATTATTATAACATAGTACATAACACAAATACAATAGCAAGATATTTTATAATTTTTTGTATATTCACAATTTATTGATAATTGGACAAAACTATTGTATTCTAATTTAATAAATCTTTACCAAATTTTTCAACGTATCCTTTAAAATCCAAGACTACTATTATCTAAACAATAAAACGGACTAACAAACAGTGTAAATTCGTAAAATAAATTTATACTGAATTAATAGAATCTAGCAACAATCCGAAGCAAGAACAGTGGAGGCAAACTACGGACAGTCTTGACTATCAAAACGGTTTAAAATTCTGGACAAATTTAAAATCCTAATCAAACAAAAAAACCTAACTCCAATATCATTTTAAAGTCAATAACACCATCATCAATAAACCACAAGGGAGCTCGGCTACATAAGGATGGAGCCCCATACTCATCCGACAGTGGCACCTATGCCAGGCACCGTTGTAGAAGTGGATGCGCAAATATCGACACTCCACGGTTCGAACTGTTAAACGATCAGAACGTAGTTACAAGTCTTGATTCCAAAACTAGGGAAACTTCCAACCAGCATTGACTTCTACAAACCTATCTTTTTACTCAGCACCCTAGGTAAAGTCTGCATGAGGGTCTTAAAGAAGAGACTCGTAGAATTCCTAGACGCATATCCCCCAAGTGTCAATTCGGGTTCAGATCGGAACAATTACACAAAATGCATTGATTAAAGCAGCAGCCTTTATATCACAAGAACTTAATGAAACAAATAGATACGCCATAGGCATTTTCCTTAATGTTCAGAAGGCCTTCAATCAGGTTTGGCACACAGGCCTCTCGAAAAGCTCTTTCGCCTGCCTATCCCTTCGTTAAAATAATTTACTTCCACTTACCAATCGGACAATTTGTCTTAAAGCGCTATCACTCTATTAATACCATTTAGTTCACAAGCTTTAGCTCCCCAGTGGTCAACTGTAGCATCCATATTATATAAAACATTGATCTTTCATTGAACATATAGAGGGGCACTGAGGCAACCGTCTGTGTTTGATATAGCACAGGGCCAGATGAACAGAATTGTCGAGTGGTACAACAAATGTGGTATTACACGTTGGGCTGACGACATCAGACGTATCACCAAAAATTGGTAGCAAGAAGCACAAAATTGTGTAAAGAGTCGAGGAGTTTAAGGGACGCCTATGTTCAGCACTGGACGTGATAAATAAGGGCTACATGATGATGACAATAATTGGAGAATCACACTCAATCATTACAAAACCCAATTAATTTAACGAGAAGCTCTTAATTGTACAAACTTGGTGTCCTACTTGGGAGTTCATTTAAGCAGGACTTTCAACTGGAACATTGACATCAAAGACACCTTAGAGAGGGTGAGAATGAGAGCTAGCCTCATGGGAGCGCTATCTGGAAAACTCGGAAATCTTGACATCTACAGGACTTGCATCAAGCCTATTGTCAAATACAAGGCGTTTGTCTACGCGTCACTTAATTCTCGTCAAACCAACGCGATAATGGCAACTGGAAGACAAACTCTTAGAAAATGCATTAGAAAAACGTAAAAATTTATTCGTCAGCACTAATTCAAGCAAATTGTAAATGTAACATCAATAAAGGACAAAGTCCGATCTCTTAGCAAAATATACGTGCCCTGCCACAGCCACCTTTACTTCCAAGCCATGAAGTAAAAAAGGCAACACCGCATTCTTTGACGTCGGTAGTCCGATAATCAGCTGTAAGGTCTACCAGAATATTAAACTAATTTGAATTTTAGGAAACTGATATTTTGAAAACTTCAATTCATTACAGAAATATTTTTAGGGAAATTAAATTAATAAAACCTTATATATACCTAGTAAATATATATAAAGTTTTATTATTATTTAGGTTATATTATCAATAAAATAATCACTAGAGTAAAATTTATTGCACTTAAAATACAGTGTCAAACAGTTAATCTTACAATCAAATGCAGTCAAGAATCTCTAGAAAATTTAAATATTAAGTACCTAAGCATATAAAATAACACAATACATTAACACGACATTTAAAAAGATTATTAAAAATACAAAAGATATAAAATTTGTGCTAAGTAAAAACTTAGTGTAACTATTATGATTAAAAAATTAATCCTAAGAAATCAGACACAATATAAAAATGGTTCTAAATTAATCTAATTGAAAATTAAATATTTTACTATTTACTTATAACTTTTGTTGAATTTTCATACTTAGATATACAAAAGTAGCAATTTTAAATATGAATAGGTTTGTTGTCATATAGACCAAGTTAAAAGAGGTATACATGAAAAATGTGTTGAATGTAACATACCATTTATAACTTGTATATCGATTTAAAATAGCCTATATTCTCAACAGATTTTTGAATGTAATACTCAAATTTGTTATCACTTATCTAAAAAGCAGATCTAAATGAGAAAGTAAGTTCTCTAATTGTGACCATCTTGTTAATTTAATATATTGTAAAATCCATTTCAAATCATTACCACTTAATCTATTCTTACCTACATTAACGATTACACTAAAATTACTGCTAACTATTACACTACATATTACACAAATATTATCACACTTGTGTTCCAACTGATTAATGTTTAATACATAGAAATATACACAGTCACTTGTAATTTTACTTGTCCAGTTTTTCAATGGGATATTATTGTCTAAGTCTAATTGACATAATTATGTTATCTCTTGTTCCCTCTTCTTATGCAAAAAGTTTCTTCTGTCTTCGGATTCCTTCTTTCTTTAGTACGATGAACAGTTACATATGATGGTACTTCAGGAAATATATTAGGAACTGCATTGCCTTTTAATTTGGGAAATATTAACTTTTCAATGTTCATGAAAATGTTTGGCACATACTACGGAAGATTTGGTAATTGTACAGCCTTCTCTATGAATAGAGCATAAGCCAGGATACCTTCTTTGGGGATCTTTTGGAAACAAAAACATACTTTCTGCCTGTTTCGTTTTTAAAGTACTGGCATAATTGGTTTTGCAACCAGGTACACAACAATGCCAGAGCATCTGTAACAAAAACAAAAGTATTATTATTGTTGTTTTTAGTTTACATATTTTGTAACAAGAAGCAAAAGTATTATTATTTTCAGTTTGTTTTGTAGGTTATATTTATACTTTCCTTTTAAATTGTCGTTAAGAATCTTCTAAAAGTTCTAAATTTAATGAAATTTTACTTATATTAATATTTTCTAATTGATTTAAACACAATTTACAAATAAAACATTCGAATAAAGTTTAAAAAACAATAAATTCAACAAACTTTACAAGCCTTTCTATATGAAATGTTAAACCAAAACAAACCACAGTCGAACTACCACGCATTGTTGCCAAATTTCTACTTCATGGCTTGGAAGTAAAGGTGACTGTGGCCCTGCACAATAGCTGGCTAAAACAATAAAGCTAAGTAAACTTAAAGTACTCTCTGTCACTGTCGAGAGCACATATTCACTAGGCTTCCACTAACAAAAGTTTTATTCCCTTCAGCCAAGCTTCTGCACTTTACTGGCAATGAACTTTCTGATGAGTACTACGACATCCTTAAAGCAACTCCCCTTAAATATCGCTGATAAATTACCTGCACGCCAAAAACTCTAATTCGGAGCCGTTGCTAGTATGGCTGGTAACACCGAAGGTACCTACTGCGTATGTCTTGGTTGGTTAGTCTCAATTCTCCTTTATGGTGCTCCTTTTTTACATCACTACCATCTACGCCCCCACTCTATAAGCGTTGCTCGCTCCCCTCAAAAATTCCCACAAAAAAGGGAACAGCCCCTCCTTAAAGAAGCGTAATCTTAAACAAGGTACTAACGTTTAGATTTAATTCGATGAAATTTAAATCATCACGTTTGATTGTCTCCTTTAATATCCATCAAATAATATGGATAGTCAAATAATATGGATTCGAAGTAATCGTTTCACTCATGGTTGGCAAATGCTTTACTAACTTAAACACTTCTACAGACAACCCCATCAACATAAATATCATTTAAATTTATGTTCTCGCTGCCAACAAAGAGAAAGAAGAAGCAATTGAGTTATATTAAGAAATCAACAGAATCATATGGAAATGCCAGGATACAGTACATCGGATAAAGACACAGTACATCGGAGCTCATGAACTTAGAATCAGAAATGGGAAACAAGACTAGACTTGACTAGATACAGGGTATATTGTAAACCTATGTAGACCTCAAACTTACATAAAAAAAACGAAAGAACTTACAGACAACACCAGACAAAGAAAAACACACATAACAAGAGATAATAATGAACGAATACTTACTGAAGAGAGCAAAATAAAGGAAGTATGGGAACAATTTATAATCCATCTGTTTCATGACGAGAGGGAAAATAAACAAGATATAGGTGAAAAAGAACAATACTTACAAATTTTACCCTCAGAAGTAAAGCATGACCTACAGAATGCAAAACAAGGAAAAGCACCGGGTCCTGATCAAATTCCAGTTGAACTGTTAAAAGCCTTAGATGACGGTAATATAAAGAGACTCACCCAAATTCTCAACCACATATATGTAGACTGTAGACTGTAGGCAATATCTCTGAGAAACAGCTTAAATTGATATGTATACCTATATCAAAAAACAACAATCCCAAATTATGTAATGACCAATATTGATAAGCCTAATGTGCCACTATTTAAAGATTCTCTTGAAAATTGTTCAAAAACGAATTTATAAGAAATGTGTGGAGCAGATAGATGTCGGGAATATACCAAGGGTGCGTATGTATGCTTGATAGACTTTAGGAAGGCCTTTGACCAAGTGCAGCATATGAATGTAATAGATGATATAGAAACAAATAACATACCGATTGCGAGAGGGATCAGGCAAGGATGAGTCTTGTCTCTGATGCTTTTCAACTTGTACTCACAGCTCATATTCAGAAAAGCCTTATAGAAAAGAAAAGGGGGAATAAGAATTGGTGGAGAAATCGTAAGCACCATGAGATTTGCGGATGACACCGTAATTATGGCTTAGAGTATAGAAGAACTACAAACATCACTAGATGCAATAAATAATGAATGCATTTAAATGGGACTTGACATCAACATAGCTAAGACCAAATTTATGATAGTATCAAGGAGTCCAATAAATATTGAACAACTAACCCTTGGTGGACAGCAAATAGAGAGAGTGACAAAATATGAATATCTCTAGGATCTTACATTAACACAGGATTAGATCTAGACCAAGAGATCAGGGTACGAATAGAAATGGTAAGGGTAGCGTTCTTAAAATTAAAGCAATTGTTCTGTGACAAAACTCTGAATACTGCGCTGAGACTTAGCTTTGTTGAATGTTTCGTCTGATTTCAACTATTGTACGAGGTAGAAACGTGGACGTTAAAAACGTAAATAGTTAAGAAACTTGAATACTTTGAACTTTGGATATACCGGAGAATGTTGAAAATTCCATGGTCTGCCAGGGTCACCAATGAGGAAGTGCTGAGAAGGATGGGTCGAGACAAAAAATTGTTGAGAACAATAAAAGTACGCAAGACTGCATACCTTGAAGAACACATACTAAGAAATGATAAATATAGTCTTCTGTAGGTCATCATACAGGGTAGAGTCGATGGCAAAAAGGTAGAAAGAGAAAGTCATAGATGCGAAATATTCTAGACTGGACAAGCATGACTGTAGACGAATGATTCCACGATGCAAAAGACAGAGATAAGCAATCTCCGTTGAGATGGACGGCATAGAAAGAAGAAGAATGTAAACCAAAAAAAAAAAATCCTCAGTATGTCTGTCTTTTTTTTCTTTTTTTTAGTTCTTCTTCACTTTCCTTATTGTTTGTCCCCACAGTTTGATCTCAGGTTGAACGTAAAGACTATCTAAAGAAGAAGAAAAGTGTTATGTCTTACGTGTAATAATGAAAGTTGGTAAATACGGAGAATGTGGAATTTCTTCACCAACAAGATATTGGACAAACAATGCAAGATGTAATATGTATACGGATAAGGAGTTTGCTGTAGCAAACTTTGCTGGTTCGATGGAAGATTTTTTCGTAGCTTCTGAGGTACTTCCCAGCTAAAGAATCCAGCACCTGAAAGGTTGTTCCCTTGACAAGGGATAGGAGAAATATCAGTTATGTTTATTGTTTATCGATAAAAACAGTAAAGGTCTATGTGATATTCAAACCGTTGTTGGATCGGCAAATTGTTTTCTATGCAGTCGCGACACGTGATGGCAACACCGCGACTTAGAACAATTGAGAGGTTGAATAGGTAGATATAAGTTTGATTATTACTTACAATAGGGATAGCATCTAATTTTTTTAGTACACTCACTTACTGCCATCAATACTGACCACAAACTAGGTAATAGAGAAATAGTGTATATTAAGAAATGAACTGACTGATCGCAAGCTCTTGCTTGTCGGACCTTTTCTTACGAAGGTTGCTTGACGACTGTATTCTTTTTGAGAAACTTGTTGTTTGTCTTTCGTTGTTAATTGTTCAGAGCCGAGAATGAAATGGTTTTGAGAACCTAGTCCAAGTTTAGAAATAAGGGAAATATTTAAATGAAAATAAGAAGTATTTACAATGTACAGATTTATGGTAAATTTGTACAATAGATCATTAAGCCGCTGTATTTTTAACTTATTGTTTGTACAAAGTTTTAGTTATTTCAGAATATAAATCGAAGAATATATATGGAAAATCGAATTCAGAATTCAGCCTAAATCTGTGTTTTTATAAACGTTGCAAAACAAGCTGACGACAAATGCGCCGGAATAGGGATTTATAAATGTATCCACGTCATGCCAATTTGTCTATAAAGAAATCCCTTCGTAAGAACGATTTTGTAATATCCCATACTGGAGAAAAATAATTAAATAATGTAGATGGTTAAGGTTTGATTTCGTTACAGCGTACCACCATTCGCATTCGATATGCATATTACTGCCTCTTGGCTTCATC